AGGTGCAACATGGGAGCCAGCGGGTGTCGGCAAAAGGGGTGATGTGTGAGGAGGATTAGCTGATGCAGGAATAGGTGGAGCACGTGAGGGCTGAGCAAAAGGGGATTGCGGAACGAACGGCTGATATTTTTTTAAAAGTTGGATTTTTTTGGGGGCCGGGGTGGGGAGATGGATCCGACACTCTGGACCGGACACCACCCAACATCCAGACCCAGACCGTCTGCAGTGTGACCTGGATATCCGGATCGTAACCATGGTTTCAAGCATGGTTCTGGGTGGTCTGGGGTGTTCAGATCAACTCACGGCCAGGGGCATCCCAATTTCACATCCATCTCTGCAGGGAATGAAACATGACTAGCCTCGTCCAACACACTAACAGCAACAGCATTGCTGCTGGCCATCATACTAGCAGTTGAACAGTGGAGAAGGGGGATGGGTGCGTATCATAATCAGGCTTCTTTTTGCAAAGATCCTGACACTATTTCACTCACAAAGCAACATGCAATTGAGAGCAATCAGATAAAGCTACCAAGCTTGAGATATGGCCATGAACAGAGCAAATTCGAAGGTCCACTCTGATACAATAATATACAATTGGAAAAGTTGGGAATTCGGTGGTACCAACTACTGAAACAACCCCCGGCTCAGATCCCGACTTTCCCTTGTCCGATCTGCGACTTTTCTCTCTGTTTCTCTCTCTCCCTCCCCATCTCTCTCTCTCTCTCTCTCTCTCTCTCTCTCTCTCTCTCTCTTCTTCTTCCTTCTCTGGACTGTTCACCCTCGTTGCTCTCGCTTTCTGTTCTCTCCTCCGTCTACGTCAGAGTTCTATCCTGAATACTACTGCAGCGTGTCTCGCTAAACTTCAGGCAGTAATGGCCGCCAAGTCTGCTTCTTCCCCCTCCTGACTATGACCGTCTCCTTCAGCCAGGGCACTGCACGTCTTCTCCCTTCAGCGCAGTTCTTCGTCCAGGTCGCTAGTTCGCACAGCTCCAACAGCGCTCCACAAATTTGCGAAATGGGCAACTGCCTGCCGTCTAGTACTGTAGCCCAAAATATATTGTTTTCGTGGGCTGGGCCTGCCTGCTTCAATCGGTACCGGTCTTCTTTTGCCTCTGCCCTGCCAAGTTTGGGAAGGTTCTCACCTTTCTTGTGAGGCTGCTGCAAAAACAGGGCCTTTGGGGGCTGGCGTGATCCTACAGGTACTGTTCCTACAGACCTACAACGCCTAGACCTACAGACCCTAAGATTTAACTACCGGTAGGGCCTGCAGACTGCAATAATTGGGGACTCTGTAACAGGGACTGGTAAGCTTGCAGCGTGAATCCATTCATTTTTCCTATGAAATCCTCAATGAGGGATGCTCGATTGATCGAGATTTCAGGGTGGCTGGAGGAGAACGTATGGGCTAAGGAAGGTTGTTTTGGGCAAGCAAGCCTGTACTTGAGAGGTGAGCCTTCATATGGCCTGTTTTTGCGACTGAACTGGGTCTAGGTCAAAAGAGAGGCTTCAACCTATTCATTGTTCAGGAAGTCTGACAGCGGCAAAAAGATCAGGGAAACCATACTGCTGGCAGTAACAGAAGTGTGCAAGGTGCACAAGTACAGGACCAGCACTGAAGTCGGGTTCACCGATCAGAAAACACAGGTTGACAAGAAAGAGGGTTTTCTCTTTCTAACTGTTTGGCGATGAGAGCAAGAACGATTTCTGTCTGGCCAGACCAATGCAGCTGGGCAAGCCTGGTTGCATACCCGATTGGGTTAAGCAACCAGTATGTTTCCCAGCCATTTTTCTCTGTACACATGGGAACTTTCGAGGCATGGTGTACCGAGAAAGGCATTCCACGATGCAGACCCCACATTCGAATTTCAGGGTCAAGGTCTCAGGCCAAGTCGGTCAGTTTCAGAAAAGTCACAGTCGGGTACCTTAGGAGTCAAGTCCAACAGGCACCCGGTAAACAGTCACATCCCAGAGGCAAAGGTTCCTGTCTATAAGCAAAAGTCACGTCTCATATTGAAAAGTCATATCCCACAGGCAAAGGACACTTTCCCAGGCAAAAGTCGTGTCCCAGAGGCAAGAGTCACATCCCATAGTCAAAAGTCATGTTCCACAGGTGAAAAGTCGTGACTCACAGGCCCAAGCAGCAGCACACCAATGAAAATTTGGGAAAGTACCAGGCCTTGACATTCTGAAGCAAGCAGGCCGTGGGCATGTGGTACCAGTACTAAGTCAAACCAGAAGAAGCAGAGGCTGGGACGAGCTGAAGCTCAATCCGAGTCAATATAAGGACTGGCCAGCCACATTTCAAGCAGATTGCTCATTCGTGAGAAGTGTGTAAGTGCTGTTGAAGCGCCTGTGCGCTATCTGCGAGTAGCATGCGCGCTGCTGGGGCAGCGCTGCACTGAGAGGGAAGGTGCTGGAATCTGCCCTGTTGAGCGCTTGGTGAGTGGATCTCCGAAACGGTCTAATGTGATCATTTGTTGGAATTTCTAAGCTGCGCATATCTGAACTTTGCATCTCTGGACTCCAGTGTGGACTTCGTGTGATCTCTCAATGTGTGTGTGCGCGCTTATGGTGTCAAGCAGTGAGGCTCAATGCAACCGGAGCTAAATGGCTGGTGGCACCAGCCAAAAAAGAAAACATGCCTTCATTTTTTTTTGGCACGCAGGGCGGTTGTAGGCTCGGCAAAGACAGGGTCACAAGTACTTCTGGTTTAAGAGAATACAAGCAAAGTGAGGGTGTACATTTTTCTGTCTGTGCAGACCTGTGCAGCAGAGCAAGCCTGGTTGCATGTTCACTTGGGTTAAGCCACCAGTACATTTTCCAGCAATTTCTCTCTGCCACAGCCATGTACGCCCCGCGACTTTCTGGGCACAGTCTAACGGACCAAAATGGCTGGCGGCGCCAGCCGAAAAAGAAAACACACCAGTTCATTTTTCTTTGGGCAGGCAGGGTGTTTCTGGGCTCGGCAAAGACAGGGTCATAAGTACTGGTGGTTTAGGAGAATACAAAGGAACTGAAAGTGTTCATAAACCAGTGAAGGACATGCACACCAAACAATACGGTCCATTCACACCGAGAATCCAATCTTTCTCATATCGCACATAATAGACTCGGACTTGTTCAATTATGAAATCACTACAAAAGTACGATAATTCTGTTTTACACACTTGAATCAAAGTCTGTATTTTCTTCTCAGAAGCTTTGCATACCTCATTCAATTGAATGTCTAATTCAGGCAGAATAACTTGACTAATAGAGAACTTACCTCTGATGAGTCTGAATCTTCCTCTTCCTCATCCGTTGGCGCATAGCCGGAAGACTCATCTGACGACGCCGACTGAGCACATCCAAACACCCCCCCCCCCATCATGGCCAAGGAAACGTTAGATCAGGGTATCAAATTCCTAAATCAACTTTCCACCAACTAGCTATATTTATTTCTAAGCCTATGTTACCGGGGCAGTGTTCCGCCCCCCCCCCTGACCGTCCGGGTTGTCCAATTGGACAACTGGGCCAAACGTCCACTCGGGCCGTTGCGTCCGCCCTTACTGAAATTTACCTAAAGATTTTTTGTTTCTTTTGAAAACGTTTCTGTGGGTTCTCCATCAGATGAGGTATATGCCCATAAATTTTTGGGGCATTTGGATCAGTAGAAGAGAAAACAAATCGCCAAAGATTGCAGTGTCAAAAACATGCTCTCTGAGTCACTATTTTGTTTTTCGTTTTCATTTTCCTTGTTGCTTTTATTTTGGGGCTTAAATATATATATATTGTCACATCACTACAAACTAAAAGAGCGCACTTTGCGGAACAAAGAATAAAAGCAAAAAACGGGCACAGTGATAACATGCAAAAATAAAAAGAAAAAGAAAAAACAAGGGCAGATTGAAACCATTAAATTT